TGACTCACACACCTAAACAACGGCCAAATCCTGACCACATAATTCAGACACTTTATTTTTCCAATGAGCTGAACATTCATTATCAGTGTGTCGTGGCCTGAGGCAGAACGCTCCCTCCTCGGTGTAGTGACAACCACCGGCCGCCCTGATGGAAAACAAAGCCAAGATGGCACAGCAAACACGAAATCATTATGACAGGCCGAGTTCAACAATGTAGGACTCAGCACACTAAGCACATTTTATCAGTGTTTTCTTTTGGTCAGGCTCTTTCTCTAAATTAAAAAACAGACTGAAATTCCTGCATCCAGCCCTGCTTGTTCAAGCTAATAATAAAACGTGTGAGTGTACATACATGAGGCTGTGTGTGTATGCGGGTGCACACACCTGTTTGGGTGTACTGTAGGGTAAATCTAATTGCTAAACACAGAGGCTGGCAGTGTTTAGAGATGGTAAATTGTGCCTCTGGGAGTCACTATAGCTCACAATCTGACTAATGAAGGCCAAGTAATCAAGCTTCAAACTCATCAACCATGTTTGCAGTAATTAAAAGGTTTATGTTCAGCACCAGGAGAGCCATTTGACTCTGTCAGTCAGTGTCAGAAGCCAAACCTGGTGTTTGTTATTTCCAGGAGCCAGTGCCAAAAACTGAACATTTTGATGCAAAACCCACTAAACTGACTGTTCATTCAATTTATTTTTATAATGCCATAACAAATACATAGTGCCACAGTTAGAGGTCCAGTCTGTGCATTCACATCCAAGCAGAGGGGGAGCCGACATAAATGTACACAGTGATGGATATAGGTCCAATAATCAATTGTATGATGAATACTGTCTGTCTGCATCATCCTGATCTATTCTGTCCTCTGGGACTCCAAGGGGCTGTTAGTGTAAAATACTGCCGTCATACAACACAACCTCTGGCCTTCAAATCTACAAGTCATATACCGAAAATAACAGGATTTGCCAAAGAAATAATACTGGATATCTCTGTATGAACTGAGACTTTTTACACATAATTTCATTTTCTTAAATGGTTTAAAGTTCCAATGTATTAAAGTGTCTGACCAATAATTAAAAAAATGGTAACTGATAACAATAATAATAACTGTGTCATGCTGTATATCGTGAAACTGTGATATTTTCTGAGGTGGTTATCGTCTCATAGTGTTGAAACCTTAATGCTTAACTGCAATCTTGTAACCCAGTGGCCATTATCTGACAACAATAAGTATCTGGTGGCAATGAATGATATTTCAGAGTATCCGGGCCAAGACTTTCTCTTTTGGCACAGGTTCTTTCAGCATATGAATGCAGATAGAATTTTAAAAAAGGGTAATATAAAGCTAAATCATCATCAGACGACAGCGAATGGGTTCAGAGGTTGCATTTTAGGAAATGCATTCTACCTCTCCACCTGGATTGTTCACCTGTTGCTCAAATTGGTCATTACTACATAGACTACAGGCGGCACGGTGATGCAGTGGTTAGCATTGTTGCCTCACAGCAAGAGGTTTGAACACTGGGTAGGGGAGCCCTTCTGTGCAGAGTTTGCAAGTTCTCTCCGTGTCAGCGTGGTTTTTCTCCAGGTACTCCAGCTTCCTCCCACAGTCCAAAGACATGCAGGTTAATTGGTGACTCTAAATTGTCCATAGGTGTGAATGTGAGTGTGAATGGTTGTCTGTCTCTATGTGTCAGCCCTGTGATAGTCTGGCGACCTGTCCAGGGGATAGGCTCCAGCTCCCCCACGACCGCCAACAGGATAGGCAGTTTCACAAATGGGTGAATAAATACATGGACTACAAACGGAAACCAGAACGCTTCACATCCCAAAATCTTGTCTCGTTGCTTACAGATTCTGCATACATGTGCAGATATCTACTCATAGAGATTAGTGTAATAGATACGTTAACCTCTGAAAGCAAACGATCACAGTTGTTATCCCTGGCTCTACACATATACAGTAAAAAGGTTATTTCACATCTGCATGGATGTGATTTGTCCTTATGCACAGCAGCATACACCTGCTGACTAACTGGATTAGACCTTAACACAATATTTGTTAGGATATAATGTTACACCTTCTGCCAGACATGCTGACATCCACAAGGATTTTACCCATCATGCAGCAGGAGAGGTTCTACCGCTACAATTCTCCAGGGATCATAAGTGACCTGAAGAGGACATCAGACGGTCGCTGTTTGTCTCCTCAAAATAAGTCCTCCCCCAAAATTATGAACATTTTACAGGTTAAGAGATTGTGAGGCAGCCATCAGAATTAATCTATAACAAACATATCCTACATTTTGATTTAATTTTGATAATTCAGCAAAGTGTTTATGGTGACAAAGACTGATATTGTGCTGTTTCATTCTAAGAAATAAACCTTTGTTATTTCCACAGTTCCTCCGTAAGGGGAATGAGGCAGAGCACGCTGAGAAAAATGAACCAGTGAGCATGTTTTTAACTAAGGACAGGGCTCTCTCTGGTGGCAGAATGCTGCTAGTGTTACAGCTAATGCTCATCACCCCAGTAAATGAGTAAAAATGAGTAAAAATGGGCATTTTCTGTTGAGAAAAAACAAAACAATTAAAAAGTAAATCATAGATATAGTTTTTTAATTGTAACATGTGAGGTGGAATATGCGAGCTTCTTTGTTTACCAGTGAGCCGAGCCTAATAGGTACAGACTGTTGTGTTGTGGATCCCCCACTGCTTCCTTGATTACAGACAGTGGTTGCTTTGCAGCAGCCAATTAAAAACAAATACCATTCTCCCGCATATTACCGCCATTGTATTTACTTGTAGATCAATTCCCTTCAGCTGCACCATTTCACATAATGAATGCAGAGGATTTTGATGTGTTTGCCTGGTAGGAGATGCACGCAGCACGGCAGGAGGGCTTCCTGCTGTTCTCACCTTATTGCCATGTAATAGTTTGAAGTGTAGGCGATGTTAAGTCGGGGTGGTAATAATGTGCCATCTTGTAAATGAGAAACATTTATAATATGTTGGGGAAAACATGGTGTTTGTTTTTACATTCATTACCAAAGTTGTAGGTAACAGCAGTATTTTATAGTTAGTGGATATAATCGTGCTTCATTATGACCTTTTAGTACATTTCTGTAAAACAAAGCAAAGCTAATATCAGCATATCAATACTGATATGGGCAAAGCTACAGTTAACCATTGAATTCATTAATTGATATTGGGTATGCTGTCTCTGAGGCCTTTAATGCAAGACAACAAGAAAATTATTAAATGAATAATTAATTTGTGGAAGAAGTACTCAGCATTTTTCTTTAATAAAAATACACAGCTAAATGTATATAATGGAGGCAGAATTGCCCCATCAATATCATTAAATATTTAGACATCATGTGATTATTGTCATTGATGTCTTTGCAGGTCAAGGTTTAATATGCAGTTAGGAAGTTCAGCACATTAATATGTGATGTCAAACGATGAGTTGATCACTGTAAACTGAATATGTTTGAGTTTTGCACTGTTGGTTGGACAAAAAAGACATTTGGACACAAGGAAATTGTAGTGGGTGTTTCAATGTCTCTGCGGAGGAGACAGCCGTGGCCGGGAGCATTATGTTTTCGGGTTGTCGGTAGACCATCTGTCCAACAGTCCACTCATCCCAGTCTCCTAAATGCGATATTTCAATAACACTATGAGGGAATTTACTCAAATTTGGCACAAATGTCCATTTGAACGCAACTATGAACCAATTTAAATCTGGTGGTCAAAGGTCACTGTGACTTCACAAAACATGTTTTTGGCCACAACTCCAGAATTCATATGCTAACTGACAAAATTTCACACAAATGTCTGATAGGATAAAATAATGAAGTTATGCATAGAGTTATTTTTATGTCATCAATTTTTATGTGCATTAGTTGTGCTCCTCTGTATAACTCTATGCACTCTATTGTACAATAAATAGTGAAAAGAAGAAAGTTTGCTTGCTGTTAAAAGTTTGCTTCCTACATGTAAAACTGCTGGTCTGCAGGGAGGAAAGTTATTTAAAGTCATTAGTTTACGTCAACCTCAAGTTCATCTGTAAACACAATCCTTTGATCACCTGCTGTCCGTCACGTACAGAAACTACATCCAACAGGTTTCCTTTCTCTGTGGTTAAAGCTATCTGTACATCTTGATATGGTACATTTACACCTCATCTCCTCAGTATAGTTAAACATTAGTCACATAAAGCTCAGAGTGAGTCATACATTTATGCGTTGGGGCATTCTGACTGCACATTTCGCCACAGCTGAGACACTGACATGCTTTGATCATTCACAGTATGACCTTTGTGCTTCAGTGTGAGATAGGAAGACGGAAACACTGTTTGTGTGAGTCTCAGCAGCACACAGTGCCCATGAAGAACTGTGGTTCAGTGTGTGTGGAGATTCAGGATTACTTTAAGTAAATTATTGTTAATAAAGAGCTTTGCATAAATGCTAATTATGAGCTTCAATGCTGCATAAAAATTATCTGTTTAGACATCTGAATCCCCTTTTCAAGGACTGATAACACAAATCTGTGTGGTACATTTCATATACACAATATAATAAAAGACGATATTATCACAGCAAGAAAACAATGGTTGTAAAATTCAAACTGTGCAAGAGTTCATTCAGAGTTCATCCTAATCTATGTTTGTAATCTGTGACAGAGATTCTTCTCCAAATCCAGCCTGGACAGTAGCTGTGATTGGCTACATAATCAGCAGAGGTGCCAGTATCACAGATGCTCTCTCTCAACTAATTGCATGACAGCACTGCAGTGCATGAGGCGCAGGTGCTCGTTCTCTTCAGGAAGTCACTTTGTGTCCTCACATATCCTGCAACTTTGAAGCAATTTTTTTCTGCGATATTCTTCACAAGGATTTGATTGCAATTTCAACTGCAACGGAGCTAAAAGTAAAAACAAAGGGTGAACATGTAGGAAGTGTTAGAAAAGACAAAAGAAATGAGCACTCATCTAGCAAAATACTACTTTGTTTATTTGCAAAGATGCAGTGAGAGCCAGCTGCTCTCTGGAATGTTGTTCAGTAGATGCAGTAACAGCAGCCAAATGTGATTAAATAACCAAAAACAGCACTTCAATGCATTTTCACTCATACTACAGCAGATATTATCCAGTCCTAACCGCCTCGGTAAATGCTTTTCATGAAATCGAGGTGGTCAAAAATTATTACAGTACCACATCTTTGGTGAAAAAAAATATAATTTCTGTCAATTCACGTTACGATTAAAGGAAAAACTGCTTTGACACAGACAGGACACAGAAGGAAAAGGACAAAAGTGGGCGCTGCCTAAAAGACAAATAGAACAAAGCTGTAATTCTACTACAAAAGCCAAAACCATTTATTTGAAACAGAGGATCCACAAGAAACCTTGCAATAGCTCTCCCCCCACTACCCTCCATCAGCGAAATCCCTGAAGACAAACTAGTGTACACATCTGGCTCTTGGCCATGTGCCCATGCCCGCACTTTCAACAAGCAGTCTGGGGTTTGGTTCCTGCTCACAGTCTTTGTGTACCCTCTGCCTGCTGTGAGCGCCAGGCCCCTGAGTCATGTTGGTGACGTCCACTAGCTCTCGCCGCTGGGACAGGGTGGTCACCATGTGCTCCAGCTTGGATCGGATAGCGGAGTAGTGGTGCTGGCGCTCTTTGGTCAGCTTATGGAAGCATTCCTTTAAGGTACCGTCTGGAGCTGCCTGGGTGGGCGAGATCTGCCTGGGAGACACTGAGGAGGGCGAGGTGGCCTGGTTTGGCACTGTACTCATTGGTGTGATAAGGTTGGGGTGTTGTGTGAGCTTGAGGTCAGTCTGGGTGTCACTGTCTGTCACTGACCGAGTGGTCTGAGTGGAGGCGTGGCAGGGGGCATTGCTGGGGGTCGCTGGATCTTCCTCTGCTAGCTGATCTGCAGGGAAACACCGAGTGCTGCTACCAGCCAGGATCTCCTCCTGCATGTGCTGCTGCCCCGTCCAGTCCTCTCCTATGGTGGAGGAGTCGGACACTGGGTTGGTTTTACGGAAATCTGGAATCGTGGGTTCACACAGGGGCTGGACAGCTACGTTTAGGGGCTTGCGGCTGGGCGTGCTGGTCAGACACACCGGCTCCACAGGCCTCTCTCTGGTCAGGTAAGGGGAGGAAGTGACCGAGTGTTTGATGAGGAGATGCTCGTAGATGCCGCTGTTTCGGACACTTGGAGGTCCTCGAGTGTTTACAGGCTGAGACTGGGCGTAGAGGATGCGGAACTCCTCGTCAAATTTCTCTGTTATCTGACCAGAGAGCTCAATTAGGTTGCTGCTGTGTAGTTTGCCATCAGTCCAGTTGAACCTGCACAGGGACGGGATTCAGAGAAGTATTACACTGCTGGAAAGATGGACCTCTCATAAAACTGTGCTGTCTATGCAGTAGAAAGACACAAATACTTTTGAAAATGGTGCTACATGAACAGAGAAAACACTGGTTCAGGTGGTAGAAAACCTACAACATCCAGAATGCACTGCACCACACCAGACCAATACATGCTCGTGGTGGTGGATGACATATTGCAAGCTTGGTCGTTCTTCCACAAAAAACAATACGGCAGCTGACTGGTAACAAATGAATTGAATTGAATTCTAGTTAAACAGTAAACTAAAACGTATTTCTGAAAACATTTTAGGCAAGAAATAGGCAATAGAGTAACAGAGTCTTGGTTTACATATTGATCAGCACTGGCGAGTTTTACTGTTTGATCAGAGTTTAATCTGAATTTATCACCCAGGCCACACTGCCCACATGAGCAGTGCGCTCATGTGGGCAGAACATCTAAAGAACAGGAGTCATGCCTATTTTTTTGTGTGTGACATGTTCAGTTTCAGCAAAAATATACTCTGTTTGAAAATGAATGTGAAAACGGTCTTTTGATAATCATATTTACAGTTTCAATGTCTAGATCACTTATAGACGTGGAAAAAAATATAAGTATTTCTTTTTAACTCAGCCTCTTCTGTTTCGATGTCAAAATAAAAGCCCTCTGACAACATTTCTGTTGATAAAAGGCTTTTTAATGTGAAATATTTGCAGGACCATGTTGTTGGCAATGCAGTGGCTTGCACTGCTCCATAAATGAGAGTATTGGCTTTTAATTGTGGAAATAGAATAGTTATATTAGCAGGCAGCTCTGCAGCAGCACCGCAGCAGCAACGCCGTCTGTATGAACACTGCACACGTACGAGTTGCAGCAGTTCAGCCCTCACGCACTGCTTAAGCAGGCAGCGTGGCCCGCTTCTATGCTCTTTGTGTTTGTGGTGGCGGGCATACAGAAATGCAGAAGTACAATCTGTAGTTCGAACAACAGGCCTAGAGCCAGCAAAAACCTGCTGGATGATGTGAAAACGTGTCATTCAGCAGATCTGAGCTGAGAGATGAGCGGGGAGATCTGGCTGGGAAGTTTACCACAGTTCATTTACACATACTACCCACACTGTTATGATACAAAGCTTTTTAAAAATTGGCAAAGTATTCCTTTAACAACATGCGTGACTGAGGGTAAGCAGCTAGGATTATCCAAACCCAGCAAGAAAAATGTTTTACTCCACAGTCTGGTAAACCTGTGGGTTTTCAGCATCTCCATGCTTCATTATAGGCAGCTAAAGCATTTAGATAAAATGGTTAGCAGGCTGTTACCTGTAGGAACCTGTAGCCACTCTGTTTCCATCAATCAGCATGAACCTCTCATGAACTTCCCCAGTAATCCTCGCTCCTGATCTCATGTAATAGGTTGTACCAGTGATGGTTCGCACTTTCATTTGCTATGAGGATTACAAAACAAAGAGAAAGCACAGGAGAGAGATGAATGCAGACCCACCCAGACATATCAAATATTTAAGGACATTTTTTAATTGGATGCCATCTGATGTTCGTGTTGTGCACACAGAGCCACACCCAGCTTTACTGAACCAACCACATACCCGAAGGTCATCCAACCGCACACCGACATTTCTGCACATCTTGAGGAAAGCAGGAGCACATGATTGGTCCAGCAGGATGTAGACGGGGACTTTGCGGAGAGAGCATGCCTCCTGAAGATCCTTAAAGATATCCAGGTCTGTCAGGGAGTCTGTAACTATGGCAATCACCTGCAGTGGAAAATTACAGAGGTAATATAATAGAATTCCTTTTAGGGCTGCAGCCGTGCTCTCGCAGATGCAGCACATGACTGTGTTTTTATTATTGTCAAATGCAAGGCCTTATTCAAACAGAGCTGCAGATCTCTGTCAGACACACTGCCTGTAATGTGTGTGCTGATGAGCTTTCTATTGACTGTGGTCTGTTACCATGGCAATCAGCAGTAACGCTTGGTCAGCAAACAAGTTACTTTTATACAGGAGACAAGTAGGTGCACTGTAGGGCTCGCCTCCATCTTTCCTGTCTGAGCTTCAGTTTGCACTGAGATTTCTCTTTTTCACGAGGAAGAATGGAATTTCACATGCTGTGGTAAAGGTTGTGTGTCGAGGATTAGACACGGATGTTTACATAGCTCAGATTTATAGCTTTAAACTGGTGTTATCCACATGCAGCTTTGTCAGGAGATCCCCACCTTATGCGGATGATAGCAGGTGGGGGTTCATTTTCAGGAAGACGTGTAAAAACAGAGTTAAATTTCACTGAATTAAAAAGGACCAGGCTGTTCCTGTTAACCAAACTGTGACGATGCAGATGCGCGGTGTGCTGTTACAGTCAGTGGCCTCGTTGTACAATAAAGACTGTGTGCAGCGAGTGGTTTAACATTACAAAAGGACAGATGATCTAATGGTTAAACTTGGATGAGAATATTTTTCTAAGGTTTCAACTGGTTGCCAGCAGACTCTATGCACACCACAGCTTTTAAGATGTGACCCAAAAAGGAAATCCAGTGTTTAAGGCTCTCTAATGAGGAGGGAACGCAAACTTTGATGGAGGGGAGCAAAGCAAGTCAAGGCACATCTGGCACGCAGGCCCGCCACAGGCCCGAGGTGCTGCTGAAGCCGCACACTCCCTTCATGCTGGAATGTTTCTTTTCAAATCTACAGGCTGGACTGACAGCTCCCGTCAGGAGCGTCATCATGAATATTCATGCTCTATTTTGTGTTTGTTTCATCCTTTTGGTCACTGCTTTCGTTCTGATCAAGACTTCAAAAACCCTTCCAAAATTTCAGACTGATCAAGGAAATTCCATGGGGACAATCTGGCATGTATTTTAAGGATGATACAAACAAGATGTAGAACTTGAGTTTCCCTCCAAAAGTGTTTTAGTGAGTGACTAGATACATATACTAACACTTATTTTGTGGCAGGGGGGTATTTTATAAAATATCAATTTGAATTTGACTCCACACTCCACACTTGTGCATGATACTACACAAAACCATGCTGTCATATCACCACTGTAACCTTTAGGCCTAGAAAATACTATTGTAGCTACAGAAATATGACAATGTGTAACAATGGGGTTGTAAAGAATACAAAACTAGACTACAGCTTTATGTATACAGTGTGTCCCTTAAGGGATATCCGTGTGGCATCAGTGCCTGCAGGTTATCTTTACATGAAATAATAGAATCAGTTGCCAAATAAAGAATTACCCTATAAAAGGTGATTATAGGTGAACAAGTATGCAGCTGGGCTTTAAAGACTTTCTTTGTGCATACCTCTCTGGCACTTTTAATCATACGTCTCGCAGCCTCCTTGCAGCTATATATGCACTCCCCATAGCTGGGCTGGAAGTGCGCCACGGCCCTTGTGACCCCCCGGTAGGAGCCGGCGGTGAAGGCGGGCCAACCGAGCTCCAGCAGCGGCGGCTCCACATCCGACACCTCGGGGAAGTAGGTGACGGAGGAGCAGTCCAGGGAGCTGCTGAGCGACTGCTCCAGCGCCTGCAGGTCCTCCCCGTGGAGAGACACACACCGCGCGGGCACAGCGGCGCTCCGGATCCGCTGCATCTCATCATCCGACAGAAAGTTGGGGATCCTCTCTTTCCTGAGGAACTCCAGAAAGTTGTCGGGACCCCCTGACACCAGCTCCTCCAGCGCCAGTCGGTGTCTCTCGTTGTACACCTCCTGCAGGTTCAGGTCGTCGGCCCCGGTCCGTTTGGGACCCAGCCTCAGAGGCGAGTCGTCCAGACACTGTGACAGAGCCATTTTTGTGGCTGTTCTTCTCTTCGCTCCTCTCAGAGACTCCGCCGTGTCGCAGGTGACAGGTAACGTTTTGACCTCCAGGAAGCAAAATTCGTATTTTGTTTTTTCCCTCCGTTCCTGTCCGTCGTGGATCCGTATTGGCTGTCGGGAGGTTGCCAGACCAGAATGGCGTCTCCGGGCTCGCTGAGGCAGGCTGTCAGTCTCATGTGCAGCCGGTCTCATTGGCTCATTTGGAGGCAAACAAGCCTCCTGTACGTCCCTCTGCTCTGCCCTGATCCGGTTACACCGCAGAGAGCAGGGACGATCAGAGAGCTCTCACTCTGACGCTTTTCCCTGCTACCATAGACTCTGACTCCTTGAGACTGGCATCCTCAATATCAGTAGGAACACAGTTTCTATTACAAAACATATTCTCTTTGGCACGGGGTTCTCCTTCACCTTAGAGGAACATGAAAACGTAGAAAGCATTTCCCCCTGTCTGCACACTTGGCTGTCAGCTGTCTCAGTGAGGAACTCAAAGGTTGTTTGCAGTCAAGAGGAGCAGCACTCTAAGAATCATTACATTATTTATGAAACTGATATATTTTTAGGACAAAAGGCTAATCAGAAGTCAGAAGTACTTTAGTGATCCCCAGGAGGCAATCTGGACATGTTACAGTTGCTCTTTTACCATGGGCATAGAAATGTCAAGAAAATACAAATAAGAAGTCTGCAACAACAAACATGAATTATCCTACAATATATAAAACAATATATGCAAATCAACATACAAATATAATATATAAGAGGTATGCTGTATCATGTATGCTAAGGTCACAGACAAAGTGTGCATTAAAATCATACACTTCCTTTGTAAACCAGTGTGCAAGGTGTACAAGCTGTGGGTAACCATAGCAACAGTATCTACTCCTGGTGGATGCTGCGCGTTAATTTCAACTGACTACAAACTACAACAAAATTATTTGAATACAACCTCGCTTCCTTCTATCAGGCCTGTTTGTATACCCTGTCAGGTTACCTCCTACAGAATTCTTTTTTATTATCTGGCCACACACAGTTTACATTACACACTAATAACCCTGTTTACAGACCGTCTAAATTTATTAATGAAGATCTGTCAAGTTGATTTGGTGACACCTTTGTCGACCTTTCAATGGAACAGGCAACACAACCTCAAGCTTTTGCCTAAATTTGCAGCCATGGAAAATAAACCGTAAACCTGCAACCCTAAACACACCAGCATGGTTTATAATTTAGAGGATAATTACGAAGAATATGTTCTGTGCACTGTCTTGGGACGCTCTAATCAGTATTCATCTGGGATAATGTCCTGCTGTGTATAGGCCTACTGGGACAGAAAGGCAAACCTGCAATAGAGGAGATTGTGCCAACAGAAGCAGAGGAATCCGACAGACAGTCCAACATAATGCAAGCCTGTGTGGTTACAAACATGCTAACAAGTAAAACATAAAATATGGTGATGAGCCATGACTGCTGGTATCCTGTCCATCGCTTGATCACCATAGTACCATCTTATATAACAGATGTATCACTGTCACAAGAAAATGTACATTCTGTCATATGTGATACACGTTTTCGAATCCTTACCAGATTATACACACCACTACACGCCTCAATGTTGCAGACCGAAACCTCGGGCTGGGTTTGTGTTTTGAGTGATTCATCTTCCTGATAGATAATCTTTGTTTATCCTGACTGTACACAGCCACAGCTACAGGCAACGTCTGAACCCAGTCAGGACAAACTGGGAGGGAAGAGCAAATCCATGTTTCCTGGATAATGGAGGCCTGTAGTAACCCTATATGTCCATAGTTTACAACAGAAATTGAAGGTGGTGTATTTTTGCTGCATTTGCTCTTACACATATAGACAACTGTACACATTTTTAATCTGTCATAGTACAGTAATATTCTAAGCAAAGATATAGTGTTCATTATAATCTTTTTTAAGCATACATAATGCAATTTCTGTACTATTACAACAACATTCCACTTCTCTTGTTGGTTTGTTTTCTTAATATCCTTTAAAAAAATAACATTTGTTCTCCATTTATCTTTTTTCTGATAAACCCTCATTTTAAGCTTGTGCCTATTGTAGTCCACTGCGCTTTTCTCAGCGCGCTTTTACGCACGGAAGGCCAGCAAGGTCAAGAGGGTCACAGCCGTAGAGCCCCTATTCTGCACAATAATACGTAACTAAGATTAGTAATTAGATAAACAGAAAATGTTATCTTGTGTTTATCTATAAAAGTGGACATGAACAACTAGGATGGATTTACTGTATATCTGCGTAAATTGGTCTAGCGCTTTTACGCGTGTGCGTAAAAGTCTATTTTAAGCCGGTGGGCTAATAGGCTTGTACTTTAAATGACAATTCCCACAACGATTCATATTCATAGTAGCCCATCAAGAGATTTTTTTTTTCTAAAGACGGCAGGCATCTACTGAAAAAACATGTGACCTAATTAAGAGGACCTTTTGGGTGATGAAGCTCACCGAAACGGCAGATCACTGAACTCCTGTTAAATCCCAAATTTACACAATACAATCCATCTGCTCTGCCTGCTCCGCGGCGCCATTGTAGCTATGTATAACCCAATCTGTGAGAGCACTGCCTTACCCCTATAACGACATACCCAAATGTGCACTGGGCTCAGTATACGTACCCCCGCCCCCCCCCCCCTCCCTCCTCCCCCTTCTACACACACACACACACACACACACACACACACACACGAACACACACATCCCCATCTCATCCCCGCCCCTCTCCAAAATTTTAGATGAAAGGGCTTTTGGATTTTGGATGACGCTCCGAATCACGTGTTCATAGGAAATACACTCGCTATAATTTTTTTGGAGCTGCCTCGTCCTGCACCGCCGACCATAGTTGTTTTGCCGTCTCCATACAGTGTGGCTGAGGGGTGGAAAGGTAATGTAATGTAATGTACCTTGCCGTGGTCACTGACGGGTTCACGCCAGTTCACCGGGTTCACTTGAGGAGAGCTCCCACCCCCTGCTCGCCTCCTCTTCTTCTCAAAACGCAACGATCGGAGCTAATCCAAAATTATTCATTTATATATTAATGTCGGATTCCATTTTTCCCAGCGACTGTTGAGGTAAGGACACACCTACTCTTCCAAAACGCGAATACCTCTCATTATTATGCGATCTCCAAAGTTGTTTACTGAAATTAAGCCTCGCTATTGAATATTGAATTTTCATCTGGTGCTGTAGTCAAGGCAGTTTATATGAAGTCGCCAATGTATAAAATGGCGACAGTAGGTGGAGGAGGGGGGTGGAGGATTTTTGGGAATATTCATAAGGTTATATAGAGTGCCAGATCGCCTTTGGCAAGTAGGCTCCGAGGCAGTGTGTTGCCCCACAGCCTTGTGAATGGAGTGAAACGGGTTAACTCGTCAGTTTGTTACAGTTGCAACAACGGATCCTCCGTCTGGCTGAATTTGCGCTCCCTCTCGCGCTATACAATGTGGCGTATCTGCTTATTTTATTGCACAACGCGCTGTATTTCCCCACTGTGCCGCGAGTGTGAGTGCTTTTTAGTTGTAAAAGACTTCTGAACACAGTGCTATAGCAGGCTTATCGACTGATATAAGAAGCCTCCGAGTCCATAGATGTTCAAACTGCACGCCAAGTATCAATTTTCATCTATTGATCGCTCACTCTCTACACATTTCTTCCTCTTGCCTGAGCAGAAAGGTAGGCCTGTATGCACAGGACTCTTTTTCTTTCATTTCCTCCTCTTCCTTCTGCCAACATGTGCTGCTGCCCTACTCACTCAAACACACACACACACACACACACACACACACACACACACACACACACACTGAAACATATACAGTACAGTAAGAGGAGCTGCTCATTTCAGGAATACGCAGATATTTTGCAAACTGTGGATTATCAGTGAGGCATTGTGTTAAAAAATACCAGCTCCTGTTCGGTCACATTTTCTATCTGGAGATAAATATTGAGCCAGCTTTGAATGCCATGTGTCTCCCTCTGCCTTTAGGGGAGGGACCTCTGTGCTGACTAATGTTGCCTCTGTGGATCATGTGTGAGTCCAGTGTCCATAACACAAGAGACAACCCCATATTATTCCCGCAGCAGCCAGCTAGACAGGCATGAATCACTGGCAATTTTTGGGAACGTATTTTAATTATTTAACCATGTAAGCTTGTTACATATAATGTAGGTCATGGAAATGACTGCGCAACACTTCTGCCACTGAGGTTTTCCTGAGGGAGTAGGTGTTTGGACTGTGGAGCGGAGTGACTCCCAGTGTAGAGTAGAGTCCAGTGGACATTATTTGTGCACTCCGATAGTTAATTTTCAGGCGTGTGTGATGACCGGCTAAACAAAGGTAAATGAGCTCTTGCTGTGCGGATCCGGCAGATCGGGTTCAAGCTTGGCCCGGTGAGTTCAGTGTGTGTGGAGGATTTCACTCCAGCAGGACGCTTACACTGGGGGAATGTCAATTCCCTTTGTGGATCCCTGGGAACGGTCTTCCATCTCCCTTCTCGGAACTGCTCTAATGAGGCCAGGCATATTGCCTTTCATCCCTCACTCCCTGCAATTAGGCACAGCTCACAGTTTTCGTTATGGCCACAGCAGAGTGTTTGTATACACAGACACAATGTAGTGGGCCAAGACTGCCCACTCCCCTTCAGCAAAACAGCGTCTCTGCACATGCCGCCCCTCGTATACCTGGAATACTGTACTTTTCAGGATTTGGTGTTCTGATTTCTAACAACAGTCACACTAGATGTTATGTTTTTGTGCGTCCCCCACAGCTCAAAATGAATCCCCTGCCAGAGAATACCGAGGAAGGTCATATGGTCATGATTTGCAGATTTAGTTGACATGGAGTGTATAACATTCCTTGAGTTTAGAGAAGAAAATGAATCTAATCTAATGCCAACCAGATCTATTTTACAGCCGTTTTTGTACAAACAAGCATTCATGATAGCGGCATACCTCATGATCCTCACAGAAAATTCTCCGAACCACAATCCTGAGTCCTATTTCTCCCACCAGAAAGGACTGCGTTCTATACAGGTTCACTTTTATTTGGGTCTTTCATCCTTTCTGGTATTGCTTTTGTCATCGGATCAATGCCGTATCGAAGCCCAGACCGCTCAAAAGCCTCACTAAAACAGCATGTTTGCACAGTTCCAACCAAAAGAAACGCTCAAGCTCTGAGAGGGGGGAAAAAACCTTGGGGCTAGTGGGGAAAGAGCCCCTGCCACTTTCTCTGTCCCATGCAAGAAAGGTTTGGTCAGCAGGAGCTGGCATTTGCAAGGCTTTGGCAG